GGCAGGGGCAGAAGGGGCTTGCTGGGTGTCTGGAGGCACCGCTGTCCAGCCTTCCCCCTCGGGAGAGCCGGGACCAGGCCGCCCGGTCCTGCTGGCGCTGGAAACCGCCGAGGTGTTAAGCACGGGCTGCAGGAATTGACAGAAATCTCGGTGTGAATACACGGTGAATAAGCAGGCTGCTAATGGTTAGCTGTAAAGGAAATGAGAGACAGTCTGACAATTCTCAGATGAGTTTGGCACATTTTTGACACTTCTACGCATAGTGGGATGGGACCAGGCCGCCCGGTCCTGCTGGCGCTGGAAACCGCCGAGGTGTTAAGCACGGGCTGCAGGAATTGACAGAAATCTCGGTGTGAATACACGGTGAATAAGCAGGCTGCTAATGGTTAGCTGTAAAGGAAATGAGAGACAGTCTGACAATTCTCAGATGAGTTTGGCACATTTTTGACACTTCTACGCATAGTGGGATGTGAAGAGTAAACTTCGAAGCGTTTTTCTGCAAAAGCAGATTTGGAGTGGTATAGTGAAAGACGGAAGGCAGTGTTACTTCAAAGAGCTGTCTTCGCGAGGGCAATCCAGCTAGGAGCTGAGGTACGAGCACTCCCTCGCTGTTCGTAACACTTGAGCCGATTCACGTTAACAACCCAGCGTTGTGTGGTCTGGTTAGGAAGAAGAGGAAGGGGAAAACGGCCTGGGAGTATAAAGCCAGCGCCTGGACTAGAGTAACGTCATGGGGAGATGTCACTTCTTCTAGAGGAAGGGGTTTTGTGGTTCGCTCTTCTAGGTGGCCCAACAAAGCCAAGCCGTAGCAGTTTCATTCTGAATCCGCTCACCAGCCAGAGGAGCAATGGACAGACGTTAATACCAGAGTAGATCTCCAATATCCTGGATTTAGGCTGTTGTGACTCAGAGCAGAATTCGATCTCTTACGCATAGGATCAGCAGATACAGCATTCTCCCAACTGAAGACTTTAAAACACCATGCGAGGAAAGATTGTGATAGGAGGGTGTTATGTCTCCATAACCTGAATTAGACTATAATTGCATATCTCAGTTGATGATGGTGCTAAGGTCAGTGAAAGCATGTACTGAATCAATTAATTCATGACAGCTGAAATTTTCCCCAGCTCAGCCTTTGGATTTCCTTCAGAACTTTCTTGAAGGAAACTGCAGTGTGTTAATTTGCTGCATGCTTTATTTGAAGAACTAAGTCCTGGATCTTTTTATTTGCCTAAAACTCCAGCTGACTTCAGTGGGAGCACTAACCGAGAAGGGAGTTCAAGTGTGAGCCTTTTATGTGGTTAAATAGATAATTGATATGGGTGCGGTTATACCACTTGTTTTTAATATAAATAGCAGTGTGCTTGGTAGGCAGAGAGAGGTGGGTGTTATAGTAATGGCATTTAGAGCTGTTTTAATAAATATTTAGTTTGGGGTTAGGTTGAGTGTTAATTGCTATTAGCATATGTGGGTCATGATTATCAGGTGTGTGTTTACTGAGGGGGTGAAAGGCACTGGCCATCACACAGAGCTGGCTGTGATGCCTGCAGCGGATATGGAGGCTCCATCTTCCTGGCTAGCTTGAGATCGCGTCCATCCCTAGTTATTGCATTAATATTTTCTTGCTCACTGAATCATGCCCAAGATTCAGCCTCGAAGTCACAGTCAACGATCGATATCTAGTGAAAGAGGGAGCTAAGTGATCCTTACAGTGGTAGTCATATGCCTTTAAAGGGTAGTGGCTAAATTCGTTGAGTTAAAATGGCAGTCTAATGATGTGTTTTCCTATTAAGTAGAAAGAAAGACTAGCTTTAGAAAAGGCGGCTGGCGACTATTAATACCTTTTAGATTGATTGATAAGGATTTTAGTCTCATTTTTTTACCAACTGTTAGACATGGTATGATGGAGTGACTTAAAAGCTATTTGATATGTAAGGCAGTGACAGTATCACTTAGATAAATCACACAGTTTAGCTTGTTTATCTTCCTCATTCTTTTTTTTAAGGCTGTACAGGGAAATGTGACTCTTTGGTTCTTCCTTAGAACTAATCTGATTTTTAATTTTATTTTAGTGAAATTTCAATTGATTTTGATTTTATTCTGCACAAATAGAATGGATAAGATCTAATGTGGTCGAAACAGTACCTGAAACACATATGATTAATCAATTGTGTTTGCTTCTTCTAGGGAAAATCCAGAACGTACCTTTGATTTGGTACTGAAAGTAAAATGCCAAGCATCTGAAAAAGAAGGTAATATACCGTGCTTATTGATACTTATTTGTAGAAATGAGAGGTGGAAAAAAATAGTTTGTGTCCTGATCTGGTGTCATTGTATGTTTTGAATTGCTGTTGCATTGGAATTGTATTGGTTATTTTATTGCCTTTTAAAATCTATTAATGTGTTAATTCATAGCTGTGGGTTTTTATTTTTATATTTTCATTTTGGCTATGGTAAAAATATTTTTGTTCTGAGAAATACTTGCAAAGCTTGGACTTGAAATGCATCTTCTACAGGTCTTAAGCCTTAAAGTGTTGATTTGTTGTAGCAGATTTCATTTTAGCAGAACAATTGACTTCTGTCTATCAGTGGAATGTTAATTTTGATCAGTGTGATAGGGAGAAAGTAAGTTCTTTTCTGAACAACAGAAAGAGACTTTCTTTCTAGTTCATGTTTGGCAGCTGCTTTGGTTTGATATGTGATATGAACAGCAATGAGTGCTTATATTAGCCGTCAGTTTCATGTCTCTATAAACACATGGTAAAAGAGATGTAGTAGTGCAAGAGCTATCCGAGAGAGGCTTTTTTTCCTCTTGGGTAAAAAGAAGATGGTATTTCCAGTGCTGAAATTAAAGTGACCTCTAGAAAGTCCATTGGGGGAACTCGGTTCGTGTTCTCATCCGGGGTTGTCGGCCTTATAAAAAAACCAGGGAGAGAAGAAGTCTTGCTGGCGTCGTGTTGTAGTCACGTTAGTCTGCAACAGCTGTGTCTTAATCACAATTGTAAAAACAATAAACTACGTCTTAAAATTGAGTATATTTCTTATCCTGCTGTGCTAATGGATGCTGTTTCCAGAGTTTACTGCTCTAACACGTTAGAAGCCTGTAGAAGTTTATAGCCCCAGACTATTCCTTTTTTTTTTTTTTAAATTTCCATTAGTGTTGACATGGGTATGTGCCTAATATGTTTACAATTGTTTAGCTTGAAATTTTTTTTGTAGATCTTTAGGTCTTTCCCTGACAATCCCAGCAGGCTTTTCTGTACCTTTTGTATCATGTGTTATCCATTATTGATACCTCAAGTTCCTCTGCTCTTTTTTTTTTTTTTTTTTCTCTTCGTGAGATTGTTCATTTAGGTGTGGGATGACATCTTGGTCCTGGCGCAGTCCTTGGGCATTGTCACTTTTGTTGTGGCCAGCCAGCGCCCTTCTGTTTATTGCCTGCTTTTTTGATTTGCTGTTGGTACAGTCATGGTTTAGGGAATCAGATGGTCTGTCTTAGCTCTCTGATTATTGTTGTGGTTTGTATCATGGAATGTTTTACCTTCTGTTCTCTCCCTTTTGCAGTTTATACCTGAATAATTTCATAGATGATGTCTGTGAGCCCTGCTTTGCTGCTTGACTTTTGATCTGTTCTCCTTCCATTGTGCGTTTAGCCTCTCCCTCCACCTGACGTCCTTTCCTGGGGGCCCGTTCTCATCTTGGCTTAGGCCCAGCTTCAACCTGCAGATTTTATTCCCTTTCTTCCATTCCCTCGTTAGTGCTAGTCTGTTGATAATCCTTTCTGGTCTTCATCTTGAAATATTGAAAA